GTAAGCCACCCTGAGTCTTCGGAGAAGAGTGGCATATAAATCAAATTTTAAAAAAAATTTAAAAAAATTTAACTATTTTTTTTAAAGCTCCCAAAGGGGAAAAAAACTTACCCAATAGAACAGGGGTCTCCAACCTTGGCAACTTTAAGACTTGTGGACTTCAACTCCCAGAATTCCTCAGCCAGCTTTGCTGGGAATTGAAGTCCACAAATCTAGGCAGGCAGGCAGAAAGAGCTGCTCACCAATGAGCTTGATTGCAGGCAGGGAGATTCAGTTGCTTGCTGATGCATGGATTGGGATTGTCATTCGATCAGCAGCTAAGGTAAGCAAGCTGGAGGCTGGGAGAGGGGGGGGGAGAAAAAAAGAAACTTTTTTTCTTTTACATGGCTCTGGCGATCCAAGCTGAGTTGCCTGATTAGCAGGCAACTCAGCTGGGATCGTCAGAGCTTGGCTGGTCAGACATTTAAAAGGAAAAAAAGGCTCTGATGATCGCGGGGCTCAGCTGGGCATGGGGGGTGGGGGCAGGCATTTTTGCTACCAGTTCTCCGAACTGCCCGCCGCCATCGCTACCTACTCGCCCGAGCCGGTCCGAACCGGGAGCATTTCACCCCTGCCAAAGACATCACTTCATATTGTGTGAGAGAAGGCAATGATAAACTACTCTTGAACTCTATGAAGCAAACCACATGAACAGATAAAATAAAGTGACTGATGATATAATGGGTTTCTATAGTTAGATGGCAGTTAATATCCTACTGAGGAAAAGCTGAGGATCTTTTGGACTTCTAATGGGTTTATAACACAGCTAGAATGAAAACTTTCAGACATCTACTTGCCAATGTTGCCATACAAAAACAGAACAACCAAAGATGCAAGATCAGAATTACAATTGGAACATAGAACATACAAAGCATGAACATGTGAAAGCTCAACATAGTGAAAGATGAAATGAATCTATTACCTATTGACATCACAGGCATTAGCAAATTGAAATGGCCTAAAATTGGACACTGTCAGTCAGGAGATTATGCTGCTGGCTACTTAGGATGCAAACAACAACAATAACAAAGCAATGGTGCTGCTTTCATAGTGAAGAAAGATATAGCAAGGGCAGTATTTAGATACAATGCATTTAATAACCAAATAATATCACTTCATTGACAACCCATTAATATGAGAGTTATCCAAGTTTATACTTCAACATTAACAATGGTGAAGAGATGGTGTGCTTTATAATCAAGTTCAACATACCATTCAAACAAGATGTGCTGCTTGTAGTTGGAGACTGGAATGCCAACACCGGAAACAGTAAGGAGGAAAATATAGTTGACTGTGTAGCCTAGAAAACAGAAAAGAAGCAGGATAATGACTCATCACTTTCTGCCAGTCCAGTGATTCTTTCATTGCTAACACATTCCTTAACTAAAATGAAGCCTATAGGCATGAACATTACCAGACAGAATACACAGAGAACAAATTGACTCTGATGGGAGATGAAAGAACGTTACAGTACATTACTGTAATTCATGTGGGATTAATACAATTGCATTGGTCTTTATTTTGTACAATTGCTTTGGAAATATTTCTAATAAAGAAAAACAGGCCAAACACTTTCTAAATAAGTAAATAAATAAGAAAAATAAATAAATATCTACTACACTTTATTTGCTTAGGTCCTGGAATGTAACTTTGTTGATCAGGATTTGGAAGCAGATATATAAACTATATTGATTATCCAGAAAACACTGGAAGTACCGTATATAGACAAAAGTTTTGAAAAGTTATCTATAGACTGAATCAGAGAATAAAAAAAGAGAAAATTGCCAGAATGTTGAATTTTAAACTTGGTTGAAAGAAAATCACTTTACTCTGATCAACTGATTACACAGAACAAAAAACAAAGTGAGAAAGAGGGGGGGAAAAAACTAACTGGAAAGGATAAAATTAAGGCAAAATGCAATTTAAAAAGGAAAGACATGTTTTTATATTTTCCCCCTGCCTGTGCCTAACTAATTAAAATTATAGTCAAAATGAAAGAGACTAAACTTGTATCTTTCTCCTACTGTTACTGTCTTTTTAATCATCTTAGTATTCAAAGATGTTAGTTTGTTCATTAGAGCCTTACAATTCAAAATTGTTTTATTTCATTTCTTAAAATGTTTCTTCCTAAATATGAATTTGGATTTTCTCAATTGTTTTCTAACCTGCTTTCCTTTCTTCCCTCACTTACATTATATCATATATTATTTCAATTTGTGGCTTATTTTTCTCTAAAATTTGATTCCCAGTGATGGATTTCTCAATATCGTTTATCTTTAGTCATGTTTACATGTAAATTTACTAGTACTATCTCTACTTTGATGAGAAAATGTTATAGGTAGGAAAAGCTATAGAAACTGTAGCTTTGATGGTTAAAAAAGATTATGCTAAAACTAGGTTTTGGAAAAGGATTCACAGTTTTTTAAAAAGAATGTTAATGCAAAACTTCATAAAGATCTTATTTGATAGTTTCAGGATTTCTACCTGCTGTTTCTGAAGAAAAAGCCTTCATTGGACAGTCTGAAAAAGCTCCAAGTATTTTCAAGGTTTGGAAGGGATTAAGAGCATCCTTTTGGGTTTTCAAAATTAGTGCAGCATATGGATTGGTCTGGTCTTACATTGTTGGCTATGTCTGTAAGGGATTTTTTTAATATAATTCAAGGAGATATAAATGAGTCATTAGAGAACCTATGTACTTTATGTGTGGAAGGCAGCTGATTTATATGGTTGTTATTGGACTTTTGCCAGGAAGAAATAATTCTGGGAAGCCAAGATCAAGCTTTGTATATGTAGATAGATAAATCTCAAGGCTGTACATTTTAGAGAAACAGGTACCAACATTTGTAGTAGAGAGCAAGCTGCTGTTCAGTCCATCTTTTTATGCTGATATGGAAATTGGAACTGGTTCTTAATGTTCAGCATGAAACCCTCTTCATCATCTTTGTTATTCTCTGCTGGATGGGATGCAGTTTATATTGTTCTTAAGCTGTGATGTAGTTGAAAGCAAGACTGACTTATATCATTGCATATTCTAATTTGGATATTGCTGTCAGTGTTATTGTAGTTGTGAGTGGCTGAGTTTGGTTTTATAATTTTATATTTTTATTTTTGTGAAACTGTGATCTTTGGATAGCAATTAGCTAATAAATAAATAAATCAAACCAAACCAAACAACACAGTAACACTTTGTTACTGTGTTGTTAAAATGACTAGAAGACCAAAAGAATGTGGTATTTTATAACATTGATTGTTGCTGGCTTTAAAAATTTCAGGACCGATACCAAAGAGAGTGTACATGGGAGAAAACACCAATAACAAACAAAAATTTATTAATGAAATCCCAATAGTTACAGTATTGGAGAGATCCCTCTCAGACCAGAAAGAAAAACCAAATCTACAGGTACAGATTAGATGAAACTTGGCTCAATAAGCAGTAATTGTGAGAGGGATCTTGGAGTTCTAATAGACAACCTTTAAATATAAGCAAGCAGCATTTGGCAGCAGCCAAAAAAGCCAATGCAATCCTAGGCTGCAATAACAGAGGGATACAATGAAGATCACAGGATGTATTAGTACCACTTTATAATACCTTGGCAAAACAACACTTGGAATACTGCATCCAGTTTTGGTCACATTAAAAAAAAGATGCTGAGAATCTGGAAAGAGTGCGAAGAGCAACAAAGGTGCCTGGAAGCTAAAACATATGAAGAATGATTGCAGGAATTGGGTATATCTAGTCTAGTGAAAAGGACGACTAGAGATGATATGATAGCAGTGTTACAATATTTGCAGGGCTGCCCCAAAGAAGGGGTCAACATATTTTCCAAAGCACCAGGAGGCAAGAGAAGAAAGAATGGATGGAAATTAATCAATGAAAAAAACCAACTTAGAACTAAGGAGAAATTTCCCAACATTGAGAACAATTAAGTAGTGGAACGGTTTGTGTTAAGTTGTGGATACTTCATCACTGGAGGCTTTTAAGAAGAGACTGCATAGCCATTTGTCCAAAATGGTACAGGGTCTCCTGCTTGAGCACAGGGTTAGACTAGAAGACCTTCAAGGTCCTTTCCAACTCTATTGTTTTTTTCCTGTTATTCTGTTAAATAACCGCACATGGTGAATCCTAGAATGTTCGCATATCTTAATAATCGCCATATAATATATTCAGCATATGAAGAATGTATGACCATTCTTCTACCCGATCTGCTAATTCTATATTTATTCTTTTTTTTATTGAAAAAGTTTTTCAAATACAAGATTTTTCCCCCTTTCCCCCCCCCTCCTATATTTATTCTTGATCACTATTTTTATGCCGTTTATTACCTATTTTCTGTTACATACTACTTATACCTAGTATTTTAGGTTGGGTTAACTGCCCAGTTAAGTCTTATGACATGGATGACCGTAACAACTGAAATGAGTAATATATTTTGGTTGCAAGTACTATAAATTATTGATATACAGTCATCACAAATTTAAAAGATGCCCACATTTTGGGCTAGTTGTGTAACCTTCGAACTTCTCTCCTGAGGCAGTTCTATGTAAGGTGCTTTAAATAACTTAAAAGATTAGTGCTATAGTCTGAAAAGAGCGAGGCAATTTTCTCACTGCCAGAAAGGCAGTCTGCCGGCGTCTTTAAAAGAGCTAATAAATAACAACAGTCTGGCCCCTTCATAAGGAATGTATTTCATGAAGACGAGACACACCCAATGGCAGAGGAAAAAAGTTTTATTGGACGGAAGTCAAATTTTGATTTCAACGCAATCCACTTTCGTCGGAAGACAACCTGCCACAGAAAGAGACAACCCCCGCGGAACGAAAGATAAACTAGGCGCCCAAAAGAGAGACGCTGGCGAACCTTCTTACTTCTCACGAAGCCCCGCCCCTCGCGCGGAGGTGCGGCCGTTATTTCCCGCGCGGCGCTGTGGCCGTCCTGTAGCCAATCAGGAGTAAGCAGCAACTTGCCGCTTCGAAACGTAGGGCAGGGTTGCTTTCCTCCTATCGGTTACTCTACTTTTCGTGCTTTTTTTGCCTGGTTCTTCTCCAAGGTTTTCTCCCTGGCTAAAGCGAGATTAACTAGAAAATACAGTATTTTCGCCCGATAAAAATAGTGTGTTTTCCTAGCGGATAAAAAAGCGCATGCGCTTGTTTTGGCGGGCCAGGGTGTGCTATTCGAGGGGCGAAGGGAAAAGGAACAACTGAGAAATGGCTGCTGGATTCGGGTCATTGCTGCGCGAGTGCCCGCTCCTCTTGCCCCAGAACCGGGAAAAGAGTGTCTATGAGGGCTTCGTCACCGCCCAGGTACCGAAACACTCGGGGCGGGCGAGGAGGGGTGGTGGCGGTGGTAGCAGTTGGAATATCTCAGTTCCGGTTCATCCGTGGTTTTGTTCTGTTTGTTTTCCAAGAATGTGGCGTAGCAGGAAAGGGATAGGATGGTCCCCGGAAACCACCCTGATAATGATTTCTGTGTTCATTAAGAATTGTGATCCTGTGGTTTTTCGGAAGTCTTGCATTGGCTCTTTCCGGCTGCAGAAAGTGCCCTTCCTCCTATGGAAGAGATACCTCATAAATGTCCTGTTTTGCTCTCTCTAGCATCTCAAATGGCATACACACAAAATGAGATATTGTAGAACAGTGTTTCTCAACCTTGGTAGCTTGAAGATGGGTGGACTTCAACTCCCAGAAAGGCTGGGGGATTCTGGGAGTTGAAGTCCACCCATCTTCAAGCTTCCAAGGTTGAGAAACACTGTTGTAGAAGGACAGTCCTATAAACCTCTGGTATCAGAGAAGAGGAGAGTAGCTGCTTTACGGCTTACCAATTTTATTCTAAGACATAATATAGTAAAAAGTCTGTAGAGAATCTCGGTCATCCAGGTTATGGTTTTATTTTTTTATTATTATTTTTTTATTTGATTTATATGCTGCCCTTCTCCGGAGACTCAGGGCGGCTTACAATGCGTTAAGCAATAGCCTTCATACTATTGTATATTTATACAAAGTCAGCTTATTGCCCCCACAAACTGGGTCCTCATTTAACCTACCTTAGAAAGGATGGAAGGCTGAGTCAACCTTGAGCCTGGTAAGATTCGAACCTGCAGAAATTGCAGGCAGCTGTGTTAATAACAGGGTGCATTAAACCACTGTACTACCAAGGTTGTTCCAAAGGTGCTTTTTTAGGAGGCAACTGGACTTCCTTGTTTTTTCTTTGAAGACCTTTCACTTCTCATCCAAGAAGCTTCTTTAGCTCCGACAGGATAGTATAAATCTTTTCATTCCCCACTATCCTGTTGGAGCTGAAGAAACTTCTTGGATGAGAAGTGAAACGTCGTCAAAGAAAAAACAAGGAAGTCCAGTTGCCTCCTGAAAAAACACCTTTGGGACAACCATGATTTGGATGACTCAGACTCTCTACAGACTTTTAGCTATATAATTTGGGATGAACACCCTTTGAATGGTGGGAGTAGGAATGTATTTCCAGAGGGAAAAACTGCAGACTACAGGAATTGGGAGCACTACTCAGGACACCCGAGGACACAGATAAACTCCAAGTGCTTCAAAGACCCTCTAAAACAGGGCTGTCAAACTTATGGCCTGTGGGCCGGATGCGTCACGCACTGGCCACGCCCAGACCCGGTTTAGCGAAGGGGAAAAAGTCCCGATATACCACATGACACCATGAGTTTGACACCCCTGCTCTAAAAAGATGCAAATGACCAGCTGTCTGCAAGGATATAAATCCTTCCATTCCCCACTATCCTGTCAGAGCTGAAGAAGCTTTTTGGATGAGAAGCAAAATGTTTTCAAACAAAAAACAGTTGCCTCCTGAAAAAGCATTTTTAGGACATTGTATAGTAAGCAACCTGAAAGTGTTGGGCTTTTTGAAGCGCTGGAAAACCCATTTACAGTAGGATTCCCAGCCTTAAGTTGTTAGACTTCCAGTTCTGTCCTCCGCATTAGGTACACTACGATCTCTATTTTCTGCCAGGATAAGAAGGCCTATTTGTTTAGAATCATGGGATATACAGGTAGTTCTCAACTTACATCCAAAATTGAACCCAAAATTTCTATTGCTAAATGAGACATTTGTTAAGTGAGTTTTGCCCCATTTTACGATTTTGCTTGCCACAGTTGTTAAGTGAACCACTACAGCTGTTAACTTAATAACATGATTGTTAAATGAATGTGGCTTCCCCATTGATTCTCCTTGTCAGAAGGTCACAGAGGTGATCACATGACTCCCCAGGACATTGCAGCTGTCATAAATATGAGTCAGTTGCCAAGCATCTGAATTTTGATCACTAACTGTGGGGATGCGGCAATGGTTGTAATTGTGAAAAATGGTCATAAGTCACTTTTCAGTGTTGTTACAATTTCGAACAATCACTAAAACGTGTAAGTCGAGGACTATTTGTATTCTACAGCAGTGTTCTGCGAGTTGAAGTTAAAGTGGTTGAGGTTGAGAAACACAAGCTCTAGGGAAACAACTGCTGGGAGCAATAGTATCAAGGAAAAAATAACTTCCTATCATTGGGAGAATGTCCTATCATAGGAGAAAAGAGTATTATTTAAGCATACATTACTTTTATTGTATTTTCTTTCTACTTTTCAAGAGTTTGCATCACTTATTTTCTAAACTACCCATCTATTTCTAGCTTACAAAATAAAGTACACTTGGAAAAATACCCTTGTTTGCAAAAAACAATTGGGGAAAAGGAAAGAAATGTTCTCCTCTCCTCATTTAATATTTTTAAAGTTACTGCCCATTTATAATTTATGTCTACAATACATTTATTTTTTCCAGTAAAGGGGGGAGGGTTTGTAGGTTTTTTAAAAAGTAATGATATGCCAAATTATAGTTATTTGACCTTTGCAATTGACAATTACATCTGCTTTTTATTTAAAAAAAAAGGCTATTTAAATATAATAGAAGTGAGAGTTACAATATACTATGAAACTAAAGGCAATAGGATACATTAATTATGCTTCTCTGTACTTCCGATTACATTATGACAAGTTCTTTGAAATTCTAGTGTTTTGTAGAAATGTTGAAAAAAATTAATGTTTAATCACCAACCTTGGCATTAATAGTTTTTCAAATTAGAGCTTTATGAACTATACTGGGAAACTAACATTTTAGTTTTAGTGATTTTATGAGAGTACACAAAATTGAAATAGCCGGATTTTATACATTTTCTGTATTTGTTTTCAAATTCCATAACCTGTAATATTAGCACATGACATTTTAAATAGTAGATTCAAGTGTTATTGAACACATAATGTCATTCTAAGTTATCGACGATATTTTCTGAGATATGAACTAGTCTTTTCTTTCATATTCAATCTCTATATAAATGATACAGTGAAAATTCGGCTAGCCATATACAAGAGGCATCTGGATGTTTGTGGGAATTACTAGCTTTACAAATGTATAACATAACTAGGAAAACAGAAAACAAAATTATAATAATTATATACCATGTTTCTCCAAAAATAAGACCCTGTCTTATATCTTTGGAACCCCCGAAATAAGAGCTTGGCCTTATTTTTTTGGAGGGGGTGTCTTATTTTGGAGGTGCAGGAGGCGGTGAGCGTGGTCACCTCATGGTTGCTGCTGTGTTGAGCTGCCGCTGGAAGTCCCGTTGCTGCCGTCGCCTCCCTGTTCTTTGTGCCGGCCGCACACCTCATTGCATGCTGGTGCCGCTCATGGCCAGGAGAGCGGCCTGCTGATGAGCAGCTGGCCGGTGCTCTCCTGATGTGTCCTGCTGCCACCGCCTCACATGTTGGACTCGACAGCTTTGATGGTTGGAGCTCCGTGCCCCTCCACCCCCAGATATGGTGAGCCCTGGATCAGGACTCAACAAAGGGCCCTCAGCTGCGAGGTTGCCTGGTGCCACGGCAGGGCTAGGGCTGGCAAGAGTATGCAAGAAACACCTCCAGGGGCCCAGAGAGATAGAACCAGAGGCAGCTCCCGATCAGCCCAGTGATCCGCGGGTCGTGATTAAGGGGCCCAGCTGCCATTAGCTGACTGGGGAAGGGAAGGGCTGCTTCCTGTGCTGGCTACGCCCACCCCTTCACTAAGTCGGCTGCCTTGAAGCGGTGGTGAGGCCCCTCCTCAAGAAGCCCTCTCTGGATCCGGCTGTTTTGGCTAACTATCGTCCAGTCTCCAACCTTCGTTTTGTTGCGAAGATTGTTGAGAGTGTGGTGGCACGGCAGCTTCCACAGTACCTGGATGAAGCTGTCTATCTAGATCCACTCCAGTCCGGCTTCAGGCCTGGGCATAGCACGGAAACGGCATTGGTCGCGTTGGTGGATGATCTTTGGAGGGCTCGGGATAGGGGTTGCTCCTCTATCCTGGTCCTGTTAGATCTCTCAGCGGCTTTTGATACCATCGACCATGGTATCATGTTGCGCCAGTTAGAGGGGTTGGGGGTGGGGGGCACCGTTTTGCGGTGGTTCTCTTCCTATCTCTCTGACCGGTCGCAATCTGTGTTGGCAGGGGGGCAGCGGTTGACCCCGAGGCGCCTTGTTTGTGGGGTGCTGCAGGGGTCGGTCCTCTCGCCCCTCCTGTTCAATATTTATGTGAAGCCGCTGGGTGAGATCATCCGTGACTTCGGGATGGAGTTCCATCAGTACGCTGACGACACCCAGCTGTACATCTCCACCCCAGGCCACCCCAATGATGCCCTTGGAGTGATGTCCCGGTGCCTGGAGGCCGTGCGGGCCTGGATGGGGAGAAACAGGCTCCGACTCAACCCTTCTAAGACTGAGTGGTTGTGGCTTCCGGTGTCCCGATATAGCCAGCTGGTGCCATCGCTGGTTATTGGGGGCGAGTCATTGGCCCCCATGGAGAGGGCGCGCAACTTGGGCGTCCTCCTGGACGCACAGCTGTCTTTAGGAGAGCATATGACGGCCATGGCCAGGGGGGCTTTTTATCAGGTTCGCCTGATACGCCAGTTGCCTCCCTTTCTGGATCAGGACTCCTTATGCACGGTCACTCAAGCACTCGTCACTTCCCGCCTGGACTACTGCAATGCTCTCTACATGGGGCTCCCTTGGGGTGCACCCGGAGGCTCCAACTGGTCCAGAATGCGGCCGCGCGGGGGATTATGGGAGCGACGGGGTGCTCCCATGTGACACCCCTCCTGCGCAAGCTGCACTGGCTCCCAGTGGTCTTCCGGGTGCGCTTCAAGGTGTTGGTGACTACCTTTAAAGCGCTCCATGGCTTAGGGCCTGAGTATCTATGAGACCACCTTCTGCCGCCAATAGCCTCCCACCGGCCAGTACGCTCGCACAGAGAAGGCCTCCTCAGGGTGCCGTCGGCCAGACAATGTCAGCTGGTGACCCCCAGGGGGAGAGCCTTCTCTGTGGCGGCACCCGCCCTTTGGAACGACCTATTCCCAGAGATACGAATGATCCCGGATCTCCGTACTTTTCGTTGGGCCCTTAAAACTCACTTATTTCATCTAGCCCGGCTGGCTTGATCCCATCTTTTGGTTTTAATTTGTAAATTGATTTTATTGGGGTGTTTTTATATTGTGGGCCGAAACTATTTAATATCTTTTTAAATTGTTTTAAATTTTGTATGCTATGTTTTTATCTTGGCTGTTCACTGCCCTGAGTCCTGTTGGAGAAGGGTGGTATAAAAATCAAATAAAATAATAAATAAATAAATAAATAAATAAATAAATAAAGAAAGAAAGAAAGAAAGAAAGAAAGAAAGAAAGAAAGAAAGAAAGAAAGTCTGTCTGTCTGTCTGTCTGTCTGTCTGTCTTATTTTTGGGGAGGTTATTTTAAGCCCATGTGCTCAAAAGCCCAATTGGGCTTATTATCCAGGGAGGTCTTATTTTCGGGAAAACACGGTATTAGCCATATGAGAGAAACAAATTTCTGATTTTCTTCAGAATCTGAAACCTATTTATGATAAACAAATAGACCACTGGAATTAAAAAGATATATTCTTAAATGAGATGATTACAGGTAGTCCTTGACTTATGAGCACAACTGATCCCAAAATTTCCATTGCAAAGCAAGGCAATTGTTAAATAAGTTGTGCCTTGCTGTGCAATGGAAAAGATGTTAAGCAAATCATCACAGTTGTTAAGTGAATCATGCAGCTATTAAGCAAATCTGGCTTTTTTCCATTGACTCTGCTTGCCAGAAGCCAGCTGGAAAGGTACAAATCACATGACCCTGGAAGAGTGCAACTGTCATAAATACATGCTAGTTGCCAAGCACCCAAATTTTGATCATGTGACTATAGAATGCTGCAACAGTTGTAAGTGTGAAAGCTGATTATAAGTCACTTTTTTCAGGGTCCTAACTTCAAATGATCACTAAAAGAATGGTTATAAGTCGAAGACTACCTGTAGTTTTAATGAGAAGCTGTGATCATGGATGGCCACTGTCCTGCCGCTGCCCCTTGCCTCCCCCACTGCCACTGTGGGCCAGACAAGGACAGTCAAAGGCCTGGATGTAGCCCAAGGGCTGTAAATTGCCCAGGTCTGGAATAGATCACTGTTTCTTATACTCTCTCAGGATCCCATTCCCACTATTAAAAATTATGGAAGATTCCCAAAAGAGCTTTTCTTTGTGTGGGTTATATCAGTGCTGAAATCTAAAAAAAATTTCCCTAGCAGTTCTGTGGGTGTGGCTTGGTGGGGGATTCCTGTGACTGAGTGGGTGTGACCAACTTGACATCATTCACAGCCACACCCACTCGGTCACATGATACCCCCACCAAGCCACGCCAACAGAACCCGGTAGGAAAAATTTTTTAATTTCTATTTTCTATTCCAAAACCCTATTTTACCCTGTCACAAGATGCCTGCAGCCGTAGTCTCTTTTTTTTTTTTTTTGGTGTGCCTGGAGGTGCTTCTTGTGCCGAAAGATGCAGCAGCTGCAGGCTTTTTGTAGCGAAACTTACCAGACCCACGCTCCCCTTCATAAACACGTGGGGAGAGGGAGAGGCCCGGCCACACCACCGCAGAGATCGCGGCGCTTTCCCTTCAGCCTGTTTGGTGGTGCTTGCCAGGCCAGTGCGGGTAGCCTTTCATCTTGTCAAAGACCAGGTCGCCGCACTTATAGTTGCGCGGGACATGGTGCAGGCGGAGAGGCCAATGCAGCCCCCACTGAGACTGCCCTAGCTGAGCAATCACAGTGTCTCCGCAGCAACAGGCACACTGCTGCCGCTTTCCCCACCTTCACCTCCGTGCGCTGTGCTTCGAAGGGGCCGCCTCTGCCACTGCTCTCCCTCCCCGCCTGGCTGCATAGTGTGCACACATCTACCTGCCCTCCCTAACCCTCCCGAAGCAACCCCACCACCGTTCACTTTCATTTTATGGCAGGAGAAAGAAGAAAGCGAATGGTAGCGCCGTGGCCCGCACACGGTTGCCTGCTGCGGCTGATGAAAGCAAACGGCGGTGCCACGGCGGTGCTCCGGGAGGGCAGGCTAGCTGCGGACATTCCGGGGCTGCTGCACATGTGCATGTGCTGCGCTGCCGCCATTCACTTTCTTCCTTCTCCGCCGTGAATGCTTGCCTGCTTTCCACGTGGCCTTCTGCTTGCCTGCCTTCGCAAGCTGGAAGGCAGCGTGGAAGGTAGGCAAGCATGGCAGGGCTCTGGGCCGCTGACTGGTTCAGGGGCGTAGCCAGCCAGCAGTTGCTACTGGTTCGGTGAACCAGCCCCAATCTCCGCTACTGGTTTGCCCGAACTGGTAGCATTTCACCCCTGGGTTATATTCACGAGTATTGACTATTTTAAAAATCTTGGTTTTGCTCCTAGTTTCTTTTTTCTTCTCTCATGTCTTTCCTTTATCAAATCATAAGTAGAAAACCTATACAAAGGCTGATTATTGGTCCATTTATTGCTATACTTGTCTCTTGTTATTGAGTAAATAATCTTTATTGTTTTATATTGACAATTTAGTGTCACTGTTAGTTTTATTATTGTATATACTGTGTAGGTTTTAAATATATGAATTTAAATGCAAATTAAATTAAAAAGTGTAAAAAATTAATATTAGAACGTATCTTTTAAAATCCCTGATATGCTCAAACATGTAGGTTTTGCTAAATACATATATCTGAAAATATTATGCCTAATGTGGTTTTGTATTTTCAGGGGAGAGACTTTCACATAAGGATATTGTTACCAATGGATGGTCAGTTGAAAAATGCTAGGTAAGGAGCATAATTGCTTTACATACTGTTTTCATTTCAAAATCATTTCATTTTCCTACAAGAAATTAATTTGACTTGAAGATATTTTCAATATGTCAGCAATTTTAGTGACTGAATTGTTATTAGTTGATCTTGATACTAGTTAATTAGTCAAGTCATCATTTGAGAACACTTAATGCAATTTATGGAAATGAGGAAATATTTTCTAATTCTGGGGGCTAGAACTACAGAAATATAACTAGAAAGATGTATTTGGTCTTAGAATCAATCAAATTGAAGTTATATTCAGGTAATAAGTGACTGTTAGAAAACTAAAATATTTTCATTGCTCCCAAGAAAGCAACATCTTCCTTTCCCAACTTGACAGTAAGATATACACTGCAGTGTTCTGTTTCATAGCACATGCTATTTGTATGATGTATCTATTACATCAAGATGCACTCATTTTTCAGATAATCTCTCTCAGATCTAGCTTGGTAAATTCTGCATTAATGTATGGATATTCCTATCAAGTCAAGCCCCACGTTACTGCATCATTACTCTTGCCAGATTGACTCATATGATAACTTGTATGTCTCACTTTTCAAAGTTGAGTCATACTTTACACTGTGTGCAAGAAGTTTAAGGATCAGCCCAAGTTTGGCTTTCTAGGGCTTTTTAAATTTAAAGTTTTATAAATATGCACAATAAAATTTGATTAAGATATAACAAAACTCAGCATCCTTATTTAAGGAAAGGAAATGGGAACAATTGGGGAAAATAGGACATGAAGAAATGTCTGAAGATGTTTCAAAGGTAGAATGTCTTCTAAATTCTGACATTGTTATCACCATTTGTTCATTGATATTTCAGAATATATATATAAAATTTGAATGTTTGGTTGATGTTAGGTTGAATTGAACATGAAAACATTTTATTTCTATAGGATTCAATGTAGCTGGCATCTGAAAAAGTTGCTTCATGGATATCATCTGATTTTAAAGCAGGTATCCGTTCAAACTTTTTTTTAAAAAAAATGATAGAATCTACATTTATTTGAAAATCATGACTGCTATATTGATTTTTATTGAAATGTTTCATAGTACATGGATTATGGGTTTTATCAAAATCACAACAAATTATTACCTTAATTCTAAGGGACAAAGAGAACCCAACAGTGAATACTTCTCTGAAGCAGGAAGGTCAGTTCTGGAGTCATATGTCTATAACTGTTAAGGCAAAGAAGAATGTATAGGAAATGCTGAGCAATAAGATCTATCGAATAAGAAAATAAAACATCAAAAATGCTTGAAAGAAGAGTTTAAAGCAAGGATAGGGTTTGGGGAAGCTCATCCTGAAGCTGCCGCCTCAGCATGTAGGATCTGGTTTTCCAAAGCCTAGCAAGAAAACCTAGGAAGAGGTTTTCAATCTCCTAATGGGCAGCTGATCAGGGCAGAAAGCCACTGCCATTTTCTGCAAGGAATTGTCAGAACACTGAAAATGACGATTGCTTCCAGGAGACATGGGGAACAGGCCCAGGTACTGCAGGGGTCATATCAGGGCAGAAGGTGGGGGCAATGCAGCATTCCTGTAGTCAGTCATAAGGGCAAATGATCACGGGCCCTGCAAACATTGTAACTTTGAAACAGGATCGTATGTGCTTTTGGGATGTCTGTCATAACTTTGTACATTCGGTAATTGACTGTTGTATCTCTAGATCTACCTGTGTAGCCTTCATTGTCTATATTAAGAAAATTATTGTCAGGAAATAGCTTTGTACTCTAGTGCAGTGGTCCCCAATCTTTTTGGCATCAGAGACCAGTTTCATGGGAGACAGGTTTTCCATGGACCCGGGGGGAGGGGGATGGTATCAGGATGATTCAAGTGCATTACATTTATTGTAAATTATATAAATAAATAAACAGTGCACTTTATATTATTATTACATTGTGATATATAATGAAATAATTATACAGCTCACCATAATGCAGAATCAGTGGGAAGCCCTGAGATGGGACCTAAACTGTCACCTGGGAGTGATGGGAGATAGTGTGTTGCTTATGTTCAGTCTATTCTGTAATCTTGTTTTAGTTGTGGTCACTGCAGAAAATGCTGCTTCAGAAAGATAGGATGTTGCAATTACCAAAACTGACTGAGACAAGTGTGTAGTGCGGGAAAGAGGCATGGACAGAAGTGGTAAATAAAATAATAAGTGGGCCATGCACAGACTAAAATAAGTATGGGATTCTGACTTAAGGCCTGCCACCAGATGATTTTGTTCCAGAGGAAAATCAGAATAAAAACACAGGGAAGCCTTCACGAGAAAAGGCTTTCTTTTGCTTTGGGGGAAATCAGAATAAAGACATGGGAAAGCTTTCATGGGAAAAGGGTTTCTGCTTCTGCTCCAGAGGAAACTCTCAATCAAAGACCCAGGGAAGCAGAAAGAAGTGTGAATGACCACTGCTTGCACTTTGCAATGGCTCAGCATAGTGTTTCCTTTCCAGATTACACCAGTGACTTTCTGTTTCTAAGAAAGTGGGAAGGAATTGGGGGAAAAGAAAGAATCCTAACTCAGCCTTCCAGAAAAACCAAAGACCCAGCATGTTAAGGAAGTGCTGAGAAAAGAGTGGGGGAGGGGGGAGGGAGAGAGAGAGAGAGAGAGAATGAGAACCAACTCTGCAGAGCAGTGCCGCTTTGCAAAGAAACCTGAAACGCACAGCCGTCTCAGCTTGCAAAGACTTGGTTTCCAAGCAGTGAAAGCCTTTTAAACACACACACACACACACACAATACACAGACAAGCACATACACCAAACCAGACTGCGAGAAGCAGGCAAGCTGTGGTCAAAACACATGAGGCATCCTTGAGTATCAAAACAAAAGCGAGAAACGCGAGTTGAAGCATAACGGAGCTCAGTGGCCTTAGAAAAGGTTCAAACTAGAGAGTGATTCCCTTGGAGATGCAGCACTTAAGGGGAGAAGTAGCTTCTCCCCACTCCTATTTGCACCCTGAGGAAAAAACACTCCCCTACACACACCTTGGGGGTCACCAATGAGGCTTTGGGGGAGCCCTGGGTTGCAAGCTGGGTGACACACATTTGGCCTGCAAATCTGGAGAGTTGCATGAAGGGAGTGTGAGCCTGGTTGGGATGCCAGGAGGGGGAGAGGAGGAAAGTGAGGAAGAAGAGAAGGAGGAAGAGGAAGGAGGAGGAAGAGGAACAGGAGGAGGAAGAGGTAACAAAAGCAGGAGGAAGAAGGACACGGAGCCCAGGCCTGGCAAGCCATTTACAAGCGCAGCTGGCAGGAAACCTTTGCACTGGGCAAGACAGCTTCTGCCCTGCTGTTGTCCTGACCCAGCCCCAATCCCTGCAGACTCACCGCATATCTGGAGGTGGAGGACATGCCTTCAGCTCACCTCCAGCTCTGTGGTCTGGTTCCGAACTGGCCGTGGACTGGTATTGCTCCACAGACTGGGTTTTGGAGACCCCTGTTCTAGTGAATTACTTTGATGTGCATTTAATCTCTTAGTTCCCTGTCAGGTTTTTTTTTTTTTTTTCATGAATGCTTTCAACCTCCACTTTTCCTAATCGGGAGTGTATAAACAACATAGTGGGATTTTTGGGGTAATGGTGGAAATCTATTTAACTGGCAATGTCCAGAAAGAGGTAGACATTTTAACTATCTGCCTTCTGAACTATACACCAGTGCTAATTTCATGTGAGTCTTCAACCTCACTTGCCAGCTAAATGTTGAAAAAAATAGTCCATATCTAGCATAATATAAAAAGAAATTGATGAAGTCATTAACAAAAAATTGTTTTTCAGAGATTGGAACATTCATCAGATCTAGTCAGTTTCATGGTAGAGTTGAAGACTATTTTGGTGAGTTACAATTTTGCAGAGGACTACTGATACCAATTTGTTGATTATCATTAATGCTATAATGAACAAGGTATCCATTTCATTAATAATTTTAATACCTACATTTTAAAGTAAAATCCTTGTAAGAAATAGTTATCTGTACAGGATAATGCTATTGCTTGTAAATTTCACTTTTCAAGTCAATAGTTATAAATCTACTCCTGAAAAACTAGCTGTTATAAAATCATTTTTGTGATGATAAACAGTCAATATGCAAACTAGATAGTTATTTTGTTGTTAATAATAAATAGTCTTCAGTTTTTCATGGGTAGGATCAATATTGATAAGACAGAACAAGGAGTACCTGTATTTAATGTCCATTTTTCTTCCTCGTGTGCTTATTAAGAATTAGCTTTATGAATCTAGTAGCTTATGCATACATTTATAGTACATTTAATAGCTTATGTATATATTTACAGTACATTCTTGAGCACTACCATGTACAGTGCATGATTCTGATATAGGGGTATATCTTTCGTTGTTATCTTGAGGTAAGATAGGTGGCCTATAAGTTTAATAAATAAATAATAATAACAAATTCCGATTTTATAGTGGTAAGTAGAAATAATAACTTTAGTAAAATTAAGTCTGGTGACAGGTTCCACAAGAACTATTTTCATTCATGTCATAAATAAAATATGAATATTTCATTTGTAGCAAACTTCACTGCTTCAGTGTGCTTTCCCCTTTTAATTCCCTTTTCTGAGTCTGTAAATAGTACTTTGCTTAAAATGTTTAGAGTGCAATTATTACTACAGAGGATTTGACTTTTCTCTTTAAAGCATAACAATATTTTGCTGCTCAGAGAATGCCATTCAAGAAATCCTTTGTAGCAAATACAGCATATAATGTGGTATAAGTGTACCTTTTAGATAGTTCTTTTGACATTTTTATCATAGACTTTTCCATACCTTCCATTATTTTATGACTTTTCAAAATTATTAATTCTTTTAAAGATTTATTGCTCCCTTATTGTAGCACTCATATAGCCCTTAAAAGAAGACTATAAAGAGCACAAATAAGGCTCATGTTAACTAGTCCCTTAACTCCCATGAAAAAGCCTATCTTTTAATTATTATTTTGTATGTTAATTGTTTTCTAAGGATATGCCCTTCCCTCCCTGTGCTATGAAATCCACATCTTTATACCTTGATTTTATAAAAAAGATTAAAGCAAAAAAGCCAGTTTTGTCTCGCACAAAGCTATTGAATGTAAAAAATTAAGTGTAAATTCAGCATTGCAATGCTGCATAGTTTGTGGTTTGCATGAGTACATTATCTAGAGAAAATACTGTATTTATCGCAGATAATCCTTTAAAAATTGAACTTTTAGAAACTGAATTGAAATTGGATTTTGTAGTCTTCTCTGTTTTTAGTCATCTTGAGCACATGGGTGGTGATAGAGGAAAAGAATAATAAGAGGAAAAGAATCCAATGTTATGATAACATCATAATAATACATTTATGAGATTGTTATCAGATTACTTTTAATTTATTTAGATTATTTAGGTTATTTTTTATTCTCAAATATGGTCACCAAAAATTCCTTCTCAGCTTCATTTTTTTTTAACTAAGTGCAATTAAAAAGCTGCACTATATTCCTAGAGGGATTGTGCTGATGTTGAGAATTTTCTATATGTATCTTCCCATTAAGACAGCCATTCATTTAATGGATCCCTTTCTTTTTAAAGTGTGCTTTTAGCCAGAGTGTTTGACTATTACCATTTTTTAAAATCTGATACATACTTCATATATATGCATATATGCATGGAATAATACCTGTTTAAAATGTGAAGGGGTTGCTAGCCAAGTGTTTAAAAGCAGTTTAATGGATTAAGGATTTTCTGTTTTAGCCAAGAGACTTTCCTGCTATCCGTCTAAAATTGTCATGACTAGAATTGCAGCCAGTTGATATCTATGAGAAATGAGCCCAACTGAGTTGGGTTTACTTTCAGGTAGTTGTATATTTATGAACTTTTGAACAATTACTTGCACCTAATCACTTTGGTTATTTTCAAGTTTATTTCTGAGTAACGTGAATAGTTTTAGTGTATGTCATACTGAACAGGAATATAAGGAGAAATATTTCTGGTTTTAATTTTAAAATTCATAGATAGATTTGGTAGATGATTAGATAGATAGATAGATAGATAGATAGATAGATAGACAGATAGACAGATAGACAGACAGACAGACAGACAGACAGACAGACAGACAGACACCAAGTCACAAAAAATGAACTAAATAAACTTTTTTTAAAAAATAAAAACAGGAACTTGCTTTGAAAAACACAGAAGAATTGTGTGCTCAACCACCTCCACAATATTATTCTGGCCTCATCGGAGATATAGAAAATTTGGGATGGAATAAGTATTCATGTTTATTATCTTTTGCAAATACCAAAAAGTTTACCTGCCAGCTTTTAAAATATTTATATACAGTATATTGGATTTTGCTCTAATTATTTCAGTACTTACATTTTTGCTTTTTAAATAGTTATAGTTAATCAATATTTAATAAAGTTTAAAATCTTAATACTATATTAAAGCTAATGTCATTTATACTTATAATAGCTCTTCTTCTGAATTTGATTACTTAGAGCAAAACTCCCACTTTACTTTAGGATATTAGTATTTTGGACTTCCTGCTCTGTACTTAGGGTAACTGGTATCTAGCTTAACTTTTGGCTTATAAGAACTGAGTCTGACTCCTTTCTAATTCAGCCTGATTTCTGTCAGAAAGTCAGAATGTTTTTTAAGGAAGAATATTGTTAGAGGGTCACTTCATTTATATTCTGATACCCTACCTGATAGGGTAAATACAAAGATAGTGTACAGTATATTGCTACCAGCAATCATTCTGTTTTGGAAAAGCAGGTACAATATGCCATGATGTGATCAATCAGCCTTTATATTTCTACCTATCTCACCTTAATAACTTTCAGTAGCGACTGCCTGGACTAATGTGATTAGTGCAGGCCAAAATGAACAAGGAAAAAGAAATATTATTATGTGGACAAGCAGGTGAGAGAAATAACCCTGATGGGTTACAATTAAAACTTTTATCCGCCATTTTCTCTCCTAATTTTAGCTATTACCATTTTGAATATCTACCTCTAGAATAAATTTTAAAAAATAATTCTGTCTCTGGACTATTTCACTTGTTTGAAAGAATGTTTTATGTTAAAGCTAGTTTTATAGCTCCAGGCAAAACAGTGTTGTGAGAAATATGCTTAAGAGTATAAACCAGTTGTGTGTGTGTGTGTGTGTGTGTGTGTGTTTATATACCTATATCTAAATATCCACTTCGTTGTATTTTCCTGCAAGTGCGGGTCCTGGATCAGTATATAAAAAGTAACTGTAAAAAAAGATGAAAATGTTGCCAGGAAGTGTAATATGTAGAAATAAAGGCTGACAGAATCATACTTTATATGCCAAAGGTTCCAGTGATAGAAAACTGAAAATATGGTGTTCATTTCCACAGCATGCGTTCTGACCCATCGTATAAATAACTCAAAAAGTATATGACTGAATCAAAGTTTACTTACATATTAACAGGAGTAAATTTATGAAAGCAAAAAGGACTCATATAGATGATTTCCAATTAATATATTTAGAAAAATTAATACAAATTGATTACTAATAGAGTTACTTCAGAATTTGTTTTCTTTCTTGTAGGGTTCTGTTTATTGATCCTGCTTTTAGTACTATCAGGTTAAAAGCTGAAGACTCTTCTGGTCGGGATCATCAAATCACTTTGAAATTCAATTCAAAAGTAAGAGTTTTTAAAATGTTGGGGGGAAATCATAACTTGATGAAACTGCCACACACAAGATTTTATGGCTATTGAATAATCATATGTAATCATTTGTATCTTAAGAATTGCTTTTGTTTTCAATTTAAATTATTCAGCAAAATTGAAACAGAGGTTTCTAATAGAAAGGAGCTAATGGTACCAAGGGTCAATTCTGGATTTAGCTTGAGGAATTAATGATCTCATCTAGGCAGTGTTCTAGATTGATATGAGAATTAGATTTCTCTATTTCTATTGTTGGATTTCAAATATTTATCAAAGACTCAATTGAATTCCTCCACTTGTTTGTTGGACCCGTGCCCCTCCTGGCTGGTTTTGGCCAGCAGGGAGGTGACACGAGGCTGGCTCCAGGCTTTAGTTAACACGTCCTTGAGGGAAGGGGCCTTCCCCCAACCATTAAAAGAAGCAGTTGTAAAGCCCCTCCTCAAGAAGCCTTCCCTGGACCCAGCAGAATTAAAGAACTTTCGTCCAGTCTCCAACCTACCCTTTGTGGGAAAGGTTGTAGAGAAAGTGGTGGCACTTCAGCTCCTGCGGTCATTGGAGGAAACGGATTATCTAGACCCTTTTCAGTCTGGCTTCAGGCCTGGCTACAGCACGGAAACTGCCTTGGTCACACTGATGGATGATCTTTGGCGAGCCCGATGGGGTCATTTCTCCATCTTGGTGCTACTTGACCTCTCAGCAGCTTTTGATACCATTGACCATGGTATACTTCTGGGATGACTAAGGGAGTTGGGAGTGGAGTATCTCTCTGGTCGGTCACAGTCGGTGTTGGTAGGAGGACAAAGGTCGACCCCTAGGCCCCTCGTTTGCGGGGTGCCTCAGGGTTCGGTCCTCTCTCCCCTCCTATTTAACATCTATATGAAGTTGCTGGGTGAGATCATCCGACGATATGAGGGGTGAGGTGTCAGCAATATGTTGATGATACCCAGCTGTATATCTCTACCCCGCGTCAATTCAGTGAGGCGGTGGATATGATGTGCTGGTGCCTGGAGGCTGTGAGGGTCTGGATGGGAGTCAACAGACAGACTTAACCCAGACAAGACCGAGTGGCTGTGGGTATTGCCTCCTAAAGACTATGTTGATTGTCCATCCTTGGTTTGGGGGGGGGGGAGAAATTATCCCCCTCAGAATGGGCTCGCAATTTGGGTGTCCTAGACTCACAGCTAAGATTAGAGCAACATCTGTCAGCTGTGGATAGGGGGACATTTGCACAGGTTTGCCTGGTGCACCAACTGCGACTCTACTTGGATCAGGAGGCTCTCCTCACAGTCACTCATGCCCTTGTCACCTCACGGTTAGATTATTGCAACACGCTCTACATGGGGCTACCCTTGAAAAGTGTTCAGAGACTACAGTTGGACCAGAACGCAGCCGCGCGAGCTGTCGTGAGTGCACCTAGGTACACCCACATTACACCAATTCTCCACGAGCTGCACTGGCTCCCTATTGGTCTCCGGTCACAATTCAAGGTGTTGGTTATTACCTTTAAAGCCCTACATGGTTCAGGGCCAGGTTATCTTCGAGACCGCCTTCTACCGCATAGCTCCCAGCGACTGGTAAGATCCCACAGAGTTGGTCTCCTCCAGATCCCGTCAGCTAAACAATGCTGGCTGGCAAGCCCGCAGGGGAGGGCCTTCTCTGTGGCTGCCTCAGCTCTCTGGAACCAGGTACCTCCTGAGATCCGGACCATCCCCACCCTATTGGCCTTCTGAAAAGCGGTGAAGACCTGGCTTTTCCGGCAGGCCTGGGGCCGTAGATCTCACTCTTGTGATCTGGCGAGATCTGACCATGAATGGTGTGAATGGGTTTTAATTGTTTTTAATGTTTTAATTTTTAATGTTTTTATATATGGTTTTTAAATGCATTGTAAGCCGCCTTGAGTCTTTGGAGAAAGGCGGCATACAAGTTGAACAAACAAACAAACAAACAAACAAACAAATAAATAAATAAATAAATAAATAAATAAATTATTTTACTTAGCAAGTTACAAAATAGATTGAATTTTAGTAAGAGTTGAAAAGGTATGGGACATCAGAGGATGTATTGCAGGGAAAGTTGTTAGGATGTGACAAATGGGGAGATGGATGTTGGAAAAATAAATTATGGAAAAGAGATTGAAAAGGGCCTCTGGACACCTCAGGAAATGGTTTCCAGCCAAGACATTGTTAGATAATGATGGAGGTGACAGCCAGTTCTTGGCTGTTCTTCCAACAAAGGTAACTCAATGAGAAAACAATGAGAAAACAATGTAGTGATTGCCATTGTTGATCACACAGCCATAGATTGCGAGACGAGCAGTAAATAAATTTAATAACAATATTAGACCGCAAGTGTACTTCTGCAAGGAAACTAAAGAAACAGTGGACCACCTGGTTAACTGCTACAAAAAGATTATAGACTGACTACAAACAAAGACATGACAAAGTAGCAACTATGGTGCATTAGAAGATCTGCAAGAGATACCATTTGCCTACAAGCAAGAACTGGTGGGACCATAAAATAAAATCACAATCATCATGACAATATTCAATTTCCCATTATTCACTATCAATCACACTTACTCTTGCCTTCCACATTTTACTATCTGTAACAACCCATTAAAACCTGTCAGAGAAGCTCACTATTCCAATAAGTAAATAATGAATTCCCCAGGTAGTGACCGCTTTGCAGCTTGCTACCTTTCAACTGATTATTCACAATCTATCCTTTTGCGTGGATTTTTTAGCTGTTTGTTCCAAATTTTCCTCTACATCTTCGAGTCACCAAAGAACTGTATTTGGAAACTGTTGCCAGACTCATTCCCAGCTCCAAATCTACCATTAGATTTTTACACCTTTTACAAAGGTCCCATTGAACCTTTTTTACAGCCTCTACTTAGATATTCTAACCACAACCATGACTACTTCTATTACTATAGTTTTGTGATGGTGAACCTATGGCACACGTGCCAGAGGTGGCACACAGAGCCCTCTCTGTGGGCACACATCCTGTCACCAGCCGCTCTTTGGGCTTCCAGCGTTCACATGCGTACTGGACAGTTGGTCTTCGTGCGCACCAGAGTGCCAATAACCCAAAGTTCAGCTGGCCGATGTGCGCATGCTCCGGAGCACGCGAAGACCAGCTGGCCGGCGCACATGCACATCGTCCAGCTGGTCTTTGGGTTTCCGGTGCTCCGGCACATGCGTGCATTCCATTTTGGGCACTTGGTGCCGAAAAGGTTCGCTATCACGGCTAGCTAGGTAGCTTTGTGGCTTTGATGTTAATTTGGGGTGAGATGGGGCATTAGTTAGGCTAAGCCTTTTTTTCCCCACTGCCCAGAATCTGAGTAGAGGTGGTCTACAAATACTTTAAAATAAATAGATAGCCTTATGATAGCCTTATTAACTAAACATGCTCACAAAGCAGAGACTTGGTTTTAGATAACTTCATAAATGCAAAACTGTGGATAGGATTATAGTCTAGATCAGCTGCAGAAAGCACTTTATAGTGCTTTTCAGATGAAATAGTTATCTTAATTTGTCATATAATTTTTTTTCTAATCAGTAATATGAAGAGCAAACACTTGAATGAAATCTTTAATGAAATCTTTTAAGTTAATTCGATGTGTTTATGTACATTTAATTAAATATTATGGAATAAAGTTTAAAATGCTGTCTATGCCTTTTGAGACAGTACTTACAAAACAGTACTTAAACCAAGAACATTCAAATTCAGTTTCTTTTTATACTCTGTTTTATGTTATCCAAGATGAAAATATTGGCTGGAAAGTTGTTTTAGTTGCAGCTTGCAAAGAACAGATTATGCAAGTATCTAGTTGAAACTCATGATCATCAATCAACTCTGTTTCACAAGATTATAGTGATGAAAGGATCAATTGTGTTTGTCCTTTTTAAAAATGTGTCTGGCATTTAAACTTGCCACTGGAGAAAATTAATATATGAAACGTGTGCTTGATGACATGGGAATTTGATTTGTAGTAATTTATGTAATAAATGTTCTGAGCAGTTCATTCATATGTTACATTTATTTAAAGAAACAAAAGCAATATTTTTTTTTGTGGACAATTCTGCCAAAGTAAAATACATTCAAGGGCTATTGATTTCAAAGAAGAAATTTAAGCATATGTTAAACTGAATTCTCACTGAAATCAATAAAGTTAAAATACCCTCTTGTCTTAAAGTATTCTAAAATTATAAAATGTCAATTCAGGGAATCTCTTATTTATTTTATGTTTCTTCAATGGAACAAATAACTTTATGTGGATTTAGAAAGGAAATTGATACAATTCTGCCGTTTGCTTCTTCCTCCTCTATTAACTTATGCTGATTTCCCCAACCTTCCACACAGTTTACAGGCACAAACCTAGTAGAGATTTATGAAATCATGCACAATGTGAAGAGAGTACATAGAATTTTATTTCCCTCTTTCCATAGTGATGATTTGATAAATACAATTATGGCATTGATTGTCTGTATGGGAAGAAAAATGAAAGAAACTACTTTTTAATGTAACAAATAGTTTACATTATGCTGCTCTAAGGGCAGATGAGGGAGTTGTGTTCATGCCATACTTCTCAGAAGTAGGAATTCACTGATTAGAATTGGGGCACTATATTTGAAGCCCTTTTATTTAATACTAAAACCTCATTTAAGTTTTTAACATTTACCACTTGTTTTTCTTTCTAGTATTATTTACTGCAGATTTCACTGAGAAGCTAACCTTGCCTATGGAGTACACTGTTTCAGAAGAAAGCAAAAATTACTTGAGCAGCATTTATAGCCAATGCAATTTTAATATGCATAAAGAAATATTTTGTGTTCAAAAGGAAGCTTTCATATTTTGCAGATTGGGAAACTAAATATAAAAATATTTAGAATAAAACATTTTCAGATATGCATGATACTAGTAAAATGAGACAAAATAACATTTGATTAATGAAGCAGTATTTTAAATGATATTTTGTTTGAAATATTGTGGATGGATTATTAAAAATATTGTATGTTTTATTTCCTTTAAAGAAATAGATACTATAGAATTCTACATTAGAATGAAATGATACTAACTGAAATGATTACTTTTTAATCTTTGTAATGTCTGAATGATATACATGTTGGTTACATATTTGGATTCATATTTGATAATGGTAGTTAATATTGTAATTCTTAAATTAAAAGTAGGACTTACAAAGACATATGGAACTACTAATTTTCTTACAACATTTTTATCATCAAGAGTTATTTTTATGGAAAATTTTGCAAGTATAATAAGAAATGTAAGTAAATTGTAAAAATATATAGGTATACACACGAGCCATATGTATTCTGTGTCTGTGTGCGTGCATGTAATTATATTGGATAAATAAATTAATAATATATACAGAAGAAATGTAAGATATTTGTATTATTTAGTAACCAATAACAAGATCTGTAGTTTCGAACTATAATTATTGGACTTTTAATAAACAGTAAATTCCATTGAATGTTCCTGTTATTCTTCCAATTGAACAAATCCTTTATATTGCTGAATTATCTACTACCAAATTTATATTTTCTACAGGTTTTCACACAATTTATTGCCATACTTTTTTTTAGTCAATATTTTTTTAATATATGAAAGGCTGAAAATTCACAGATTCCTTATTTAAATATAGTATTGTTTTCCACAAGATTTAGATATTTAAAGTAACTTAATTTATTTTTCCAAATCCAAAAAGTAGTTTGCAGAGGAAAAAAATGGTATATGGCTTCTCATCTGTGATTCAGATGAATTCCCTTAATCACTCCTTTTCTATTTTGTTCCTTGTTCAAAAGTTATTAATGTAACTGACTGAAAATATCATAACAACAAAGCATAAGAGCTTTTGCAAGCCATAAAACTTTTGTTTTTAAAATGGAAAGTACAGCAGGGAACATAAAACATAGTATACATAATAAAATATAAGTGCAAATTTGAATACCAAGTAGCCAGAGAAATGAAAATAAATTTGAGTGTAACCTAGATGAGGAGCAGGTGTGAAGAATCAGTGGGAGATTACCAGAGGCAGATATAAAGTTCCAGAGAAACAGGTTCATTACCATAAAAGTCAATTGGATGTGGTCTACTACTGAATTAAGTTAGGGAGACTAAAAACAAAGTAGAATAGTACATTATTCAAAGTAGTAGGTGGCAAGTATCCAAGATTTGGGTATATTTATTTCGGAAGATTTAAATTGTGTTTATGTTTAACTTTGGTTTCTCTAAACATATGAGATGTTATAAGTTTTAATAATGAGTTTTATTAAGGTAAATTAGGGAAGAGTATCGATATTTTAATCAATGCATCTATTTTAGTATTGGCCATATTTGTTTTATTGCTGCTGTTGTGCTCATTTCAATGTACAGAGCTCATATCAGTTGGAACAGAATTTTTGAGAGAGAAAATGTGTGTGTGTGTGCTTGTGTGAATACACACACATGTATGCACACATGTACATATACACAGACATGCACATAATGAAATCAGTAGTAGGGTGTGAATGATAGCTTCTGTGAAGCTAGACAACTCAGTTTTTTTTTTATTTACATTGGAAACATTTTTCATTCTAATTGGTAAATAGCAACTTTAAAATACCATGTAAAATGTGTTTTTTATTAGAATTGGATGAATTCTGAATACTGCTATAGAAATCCAACTATAAGGAAATTCTTTACAGTTGAATCTAAAATTTGAATGACCAACAGTTTCCTGACAAGAAAATAGTTTTAAATAATATGTTCCTACATTTAGGAAAATATTTGGAAAAATCCTTTCGTTCTTTATACAGTATTTTAGAAGTTGCTGGGAATCAGATGGCATATAAATTTAATTAATTATTATTAGAATGGCTTTTCTTTTTTGTTTATGAAAAAGAGGTAATGTGTTTATTTCAATCTATTGTTTGCTTTTCTGCAAAAAATTCTCATAAGGAATAAACATTGTGGATGTTATTTTTTTTTCTGTGTCAGTATCCCAGAGAGCAACCAGACTGTCTTATTGACTTACCAGTTCAGTTTTCTTTTTCCTGGACTCCACAGGTAAGCAAGCATCTATTTGTTCCCTTGGGAAGTATGTATGTATTTTAGAAGATGTTAGGCTCATATCTAATATACAGTTTAAACAATTTCTACTTTATGAATTAATAATTCAATTAAATTAATCTTGAATGTAATATAAATGGTATAGTACCCAGTGAACCATAAAATGAGTTCCTGGTTTAAGAGTATGTTTGTATGTCAATTATTCACCATTTTGAATAAAATAAAATTGAAAGAAAGAAATAATTTTTCTTCCAGTGAATCTTATGGATGTATATCCAACAGTGTTCAATAGGAATTATTCACAAGCCAAATGGTTACTGAACTTTTGTTTCATTAGTGTAACATTACTTCTAAATCCTATTCTGTGGTGACAAAATTATCTCCAATCTCATATTAATATTACTAAAAATAAACGGGTATAATCTGAGACACAGAGCTAGTTTGGTGTAGTGGCCAAAGTGCTAGACCAGAAACCCAGAAGATATAAATTCTGGCCCTCTAATAGGCATGCAAACCAGCTGGGTGACTTTGGGCTACTCATTGTGTGTGTGCGGGAGGGGTGGGGGGTTGCAGAAGATATGCTGCTTTGAATTGTACAAAAATAAAGGAGGATGTACATAGAATCTGAAAGCTGTAATAAAAACTGATAGTACAAGATGTACTTCTGGGGCAAAACAGATTAAAGTGTATGTGGGCTATTGACAACCTACCAGTTAGATGTTCAACGTTCAGAAAGCACTTTAGCAATATATAATTTCTGCTTCTAAGGCTATGGTAATTCAGATTCTGCAGTTTCTTGTTCAAGTTAATTGCAGTTTACTGGAAATTCTCATTGTTTCTTAATAGGTCTGATGACTTGAATGCAAGCATATCGCAGTTTCTAAATCCTCAGCAAGCATTGCGGTGGCTTTAGAAATATTCTGTGAATATATAAAGATGACTTGGAACCTTTAATAAGATACACCTGAGACAGGCAGAAATAGTTACAAGATACAGCTAATCAGAAATTACTTATGACATAGTGAATACTATATCTTATCCTGGTAGAAAATGTTGCTAAAGATAGATTCTTGCAAACCATACTTTATTTTCACACAATTAAAAATCTGCTGCTGATGGGATGCCCCCCTCTGGCAAGAATGCAAAATGCTTAATTTTTCCATCCTTTTCATATACTGTATAATGAACATTTTTGGTATTGTTCTTATGCCATCGGTATAAAGAGAGCAGCACAAGAACAGAAAAGCTCATCTGTCTTCAGCCCTGATGCACACACACTTTTTAAATAAAGGCTGAAACACGTGGCTGTGTGCTATATGAAATTTCAAGATACTGAATGTTAAAATTACACAATAATTCATGCTCACTGTCTCACCCAAATTTCCAAAACCATGTGTTGGGTTTTATTTCTAATCAATGGACAATTGGCAGTGTAGTTCCCTTTTTCTTGAAAAAGCCAATTATAATTTACTCACCTTATTTGCTTTCTAGTTCACAATCACTTATGGTATCAAGCCTATGCCACTGGCCAACAGAGCCTTAAATTTCTAACCTGGTTGTAGCTTCAAAGCTGGATAATCTTTCTTTCTTTTTCCTGATGTAACCAGCCTTCTAATTCAGTAGCATCTGTTTTCTAAGCAAAATATAGTACATTAAGCTTTAAGACTGTCTACTATATTAATACAGGGACGCGGTGACTCAATGGCTAAGATGCTGAGCTTGTCGATTGAAAAGTCGGCAGTCCAGCGGTTCGAATCCCTAGTGCCAACGGGTAAGCTCCCGTTACTTGTCCCAGCTTCTGCCAACCTAGCAGTTTGAAAGCACATAAAAAATGCAAGTAGAAAAATAAGGGCCATCTTTGTTGGGAAGGTAACAGCGTTCCATATGCCTTTGGCATTTAGTCATGCTGGCCACATGACAGTGGAGACATCTTCAGACAGCGCTGGCTCTTTGGCTTTGAAAAGGAGATGAGCACCGCCCCCTAGAGTCAGGAATGACTAGCACATATGTGTGAAGGGAACATTTACCTTTACCTTACTATATTAATGTAAATTTGAAAAAAATTCTTTACACAGGTAAATTTTGTGAATATTTATGTCAGGATCTATTAAAACCTCTGATAATCTCATTCATTTTCTTAAAAGCCTCAACATCTTCATTAAAGTTTTCTTGTTAATTTTATAAGCTGAACAAATACACTCTAATAAAAAAGCAAGCTGTTTAATTTTGACTTGTATTTGGTAAAAATAAGAACTATGTCCTAATTCTGTGTAAAAGTATTCATTATGTATATAGTTCGTTACCATGTTCAACAAATAAGAAATTGGTGTGTATTGATGTACTGCATGTACTTCCTAACTGGTAGGATGTTGGCAACAATATATTGACTTGCAAGGTAGTCTGTGGAGATCCTAGCCTGCCAAAAATAGTATGAATATGCATGATTTCTTGGGAAATGCTACAAGACCCTGTGTGCTTCCTCGTTTCATAGTCAAATCAGCCTGATACATTTCATCCTGAGAAGATGGTTCCTACAGTGTTCTGAGCCAACCTATATAACATCATGTAGCTCAAAACCTTAATTAGACTTGTTAACCAGAATAGTGACAGAGTGTTGGTGTTACTTTACACTAAAGTCTCAACTTTTTAACATCCTGGTTATGCATTTTCTATCAAATACTGATGTAGGTAAGATATCCCACCCCAGCTATAGCTTTCCCCTGCTGTTCCAATAGGATCCATGAGTTATGAATTACCCCAAAGTCAAAGACATGAAGCTTTATTAGTATGGTATCCCTACCTAGAGCTATCATTAGGGCCATCCTGAGCCAAGATGTTCATTTGGACAAAACTGTAGATTGTCTTACTGGTATTTAGCTAAGCTTGTGTTTGCCTGTCCAGATTTATAATCTCCAAAAAGCAGATATATACTTAAAACATTCCCAGCTGCTTCTGGTTGGTGAATTATAACTGGGTAACCTTACCATATTAATGATACTGATTGTATAACAATACATGATCTTCTCTTATTAGTCTTAAATAGTAGTAGGAAGAGAGCCAAACTCTGTGGCACCCATATTGTTCTCTCACTACTGTTAACTGAGGTACAAGTTGAGTCATACAGTAATAGTGCTTTCAGATCCTATATTACATATAGATAATCTAGCAAAATAGCATGATTAGTAGTATTAGAAACGATGGTGAATTTTAACAGTACTAGGAGGAGATGAGACTCCTACATTCCAACTCCCAACAGAAGTCATCTGCTGGAGTGACTGATGCTGGTTCAATCTTATGCCAAACTATGATTGAGAGGTATGTACAGTAGCTAATCTGATTCTCTGCCAATAAAACCTACCCAGAAAAAGAAAGTCGGGAGATAGAAGGCAGCATGTCACTCAGATGTCAAAAAAATTGAAAAAACTCTTGTCTAGTCCAGTCCAATTCAGCCCTACTGGAGTTGAGTAATAAATTTCACATCCTCTCCCTGGAAGAAAACATGCAGGCATATAAAGAAGGGACTTTATCAAGTATTCCAGTAGCAAGAAGGAAAGTAGCCAAGATTTTCCCAAAGAAAAAATGGCATGTGTTGGTGATAGGTGACTTACTTTTTAAAGAAACAAAATCAGCAATTTGTAGACCAGACCAATCTATCAAGGGAGGTATGTTGTCTCCCAGGTACAAAGATGTAGCAGAGAGGCTTACCAAAATAACGAAGCTCACCAATTATGCCTTTCTACTCTTTCATGTTGGGAAAAATGACACAACAAAGAGCCTGAAAACAATATAAAGGACTTATGAACAGCTAAGCATGAAAGACAAAGAGGACATACAAAGTTCTCATCTGTACTTCCTATGGAAGGTCATCATCCAATGGGAGAGCAGAGGATTCTAGAAGTAAACTGCTGGCCCAAGAAATGGTGCCATACAGAGAACTTTGGGTTCCTAGACCATGGTTTAGATTACCTACAGGAAGGACTTTGGCAGGGAATGGACTACACCTCAGAAGAACTGGGAAGAATGTGTTTGGAAAACAGTTGTCTCAGTTTATCCAAAGGGCCGGGTGGATTATCAAGAGCATATTGTCCAGATCATTTGCAGTAGTCGTTTCACTTAAATTTTGTAGATGAGATTAGTATTTCACAGTAAGGGAAACTTCCATTCATATATAAATGATTCCACATTGTTGGTTGAAGAACTGGAATGATTGTCAGTGAATATTAGATAGATTGTAGGACACAGTGAGAAGGAATCTGAAAACTAATATATCAAATACCAAGGTAGTCATATTTGACAAAGAAAAGTGACTGAACAATTGCAAGTTATATGTAAACAGCAAAAAACACAGCAAGTAGATAGATTTGTCTATCTTAGTAGAAATTGGCAAAAGATGGGAAAATCAAGACTTTTAAGTTAGACAAATGCTAGTAAAAAGATAATAGATAAAATGTGGTCTGTTGCAAGGAATGAATAAGTATCAAATAAGTGAAAACAAGTGAGTGTAATGAGTCGTGTTTATTTTTGGTTTGTTGTTTCTTACTTCTTTTTTGCACTTTGCGCGGCATTGCTTATGCCTAAAGGGATGTATGTATTAACTGATACACAGGTTAACTTTTTTCCCAAAATTAAAAGATTTGCATATGTTCAGTGAGCTATTTGTTGGCAGATTCTCATTTTTTCTTAGTATTATGTATATTCAGCATATATATTCTAACATTTGATGGGTATTTAATTCTAACAATTGTAGGTCATCTTAATGAAAATGTTGACAGGATCCTTAACTCAAAGAGGACAAATGTCAAAATTTGAATACTAGCACAGAACTTGTTTTAAGAGAATCTAAATAGATTTCAGATATAATAATTGATTTCCCCTAACATCTGTTTCTCTTTTTGTGTTCTACCAGTACTTTTGGACTCAAAGCTTGATGGTGGTTCTCCCCCCTCTTGCTTTTTATATAATAATAGACATGGCTTTATGGCATCTGTATTAAAAAT